CCAGCCCAAACCATTCTATGATTCTATGTTTTGGTTTGTTACACTGCTGTGTCACTGTACTTTTTTGTGTGAACTGTGTTAATTTGGAAACAGCTTTGAGAGCCCCCAGATGAAAATACAGGTTGCTAGCAGCTCGTTGTGACGCTGCCGTGTTTGTTGCAGAGCTAAGGGAGCAGAGGTAGGCATGGGTGGAGGGCTGAATTTCAAGCCAGGGTGATCACACACTGCCTTCCATCTTCCCAAATCCCTGCACGCTGCCTTTGGTTGTTGCAGCAGAGGTCATAGGAGGTAGAAGCGATTGGGAAGGGTTTATGAGCAGTACCATGCATGTCCCTGGTCATGGGGCAGAGCATAGAGTCACCTCTGCAGCTTCCCCTTTAGCACTGTGGCCACATCCAGCTCTGAAACGTCTTTGCTTTCTGTTTCCAAGCCTTGCATGGGCTTGCCCTTCCCTGTTCAACATCTCCTGCTTTCCACCTCAGAAATAGCTGCTCTTCAAGGGTGAGGTGGCAGGGTTGCTCTGTGCGTGCAGTTTCTCTGCAAGAATCCCAATTGTTCCACAAATCACTTTTATCGTATGTGCATCTGTATTTCCAAAGACCACATACCTAGTGCTATCTTAGAGAGAATATAAGCAGAGGAGTTGCTTTCAGATGTTTCAAGGTGTTTGCTTCCTTTGTGTTTCTCTCACTTCCCATTCTCTTTTCTTCTTTTTTCTCCAAAAGATTAATTTGCATTGCAGTGTAAATCTTTTTTTAAGTGCCTCTCTCACTGTGGTAGCCATCATACTGTCAGTACCAGAACCAGAGCTAAGAAGTTATAGGTGGAAAAAGCTTGCAGGATTCTCTCTCTAAGGAAAAATGAGGCCAGCTGGGCAACAACAAAAAAGAAAAAAGGAAAGAAATGACCTGAATTTGATAGGGCCCTTGGGAATGGGCTGTGCAGCCTGCCTGGTCAACAATGCAGTAGGAAAGTTCATGCAAATGTGTGCCAACCCTCCCACGTCCCAAAGTTTCCATTTCTCCATCTATATTTTTCCTCCCCCGCAGTCCACTTGAGCTCAACAGCCCCTGCACTGGTGCCTCCGCTCTTTGCCAGGAACAGTAGGATCCAGCTCAGGCCTCTTGGTGAAATCTCTGCCTCTAGAAAGGTTTTTCTTGCTCCTCAAATCAGGTTCGCAGGTATTTTGCCTCATTGCTAAAATTCAATTTCCAATAATAATTTCCCATTAAAAAAAAAAAAATCATTAAAAGTCAGTACAATCAGAAGTATTTGATTTTTAGTTGGGATATTCTGAAGAAAAATGCTGTAACTTTTGGGCATTTTTTTAAATTCGATCTAGTTTACAGATGAACAGCCACAACAAGCTAGTTCAAGAACAGTGTTAGCTGTTGCACTGAATTGGCTTGCCTTTTGTGAATTTACTGAATGATTCTTGAATGTGCTGCTTGTCCCCTTTGATTTTTATTCTGATTAGCTTTTTCTAGGAGGAGCACAATAAACCTTTATAGTTATACGCTAAAATACTGTGGCTTGCTCTATATGTTATTCACAACTGGTTTTTTGAACACATCAGCCTATAATCTTTGCAATAAAAGCCTGTGTTGAGAATTCTCTGTGGGCTTTAATTGCATCTGTTAAGTAGAATAGTTAGTAATGAAAATACCATGGGGAAAAAGTGGTCCTTTCTGTAGAAGGTTCAGTTGGTTTACATTTGCCAAGTAGAAAGCAAACGAAGTGTGAATTGGAGGGTCTGTGCTCATCCTCACAACGTTCAGTGAATGAGCTTTCCATTGGCTCATGTAGAACAGAGTGTATGTTGCTTTTGTAAGAGAGTTCTTATAGCCCAGGTGACTATCAAATAGTTTTAACTAAAGCGTAGATCACACAAATACAAGAGCGACCAAATTGTTTTATGAAGATTCACAAAACAGGTTATTTTGGGCTGTTTTGTTGTCGTTTTTCTCTATTCAAAGGCAAAGTGCGAACAGTGGTGTAGGAACATGGTAGTCAGGGGTAGGCTTTGGACCTGACCCTGCAAGGTGCAGAGTTAGTCAGTTGTAATGCTGTAGTATGATGTTCGTTTTCAGAGAATATGTGATTATTTTATATTGCCTAATGGTCACACTTTATTCTGCATCCTGTAAGATAATGAGGGTTTATGTCAGCCCAGAAAGTAGATGGTAGATCCACATGGAATGTGTTTACTGCAGACTGCCTTCGGTTGTGCTGAACTGCTCGGTTCAGTGTGGGAGAGAGCTGCCTAGAAATGGGCATTCACTTCCTTGCCGCCTTTTCCATACTCTAAAACAAATAAAGCTGACACAGAAGGCTGTGACCACACCCTGGATGACTTCCTAAACTCATTTGTGGCTATGTACTCTGCAAGTTTTACACAAGACTTAAAAAGGAGTCTTGTTAAGCTAGTGCTGGTAATTCAGAAAGCACCACCTCTAAGTTTTCACCCCATCTCGGTTTGTGCTCCAGCAGCCTGATAATCACCTCCCTGTCCCTCTGAGGGAGAGGCCGCTGTGCAAGCAATGGCTCCCATGGGAGCTTCACAAGAGGCTGGCAGGGAAGAGAGGGAATACTTCTGGTCGGAGGAGTGCTAACTTATTCCGTCCCTCTGTTGCCTTTTCTTCCACTTTCTCTGCGTAGCTTTTGATATTTAAATGTCTTTGATCTGTCCTTTATTCCATTCTCTTTGTTTCCTGGAGTCTCATCTTTCCCATGCCTTTCTGTGAGACCATCTTTCCTGTTCCCACCTCAGATACCTTTCAGTGCTGCTGCTTTCTCTGTTTTAGATCTCCACCATTTTCCTTCCTGACGTGCCTCCTTTTCCCTGTGGTCTTGGGCAGCAGCCTCTGCTGTTAGGTTTTAGGCTTGATCCCTCTCTTTCTTTCATGGGCTGGGGCAAATGTTCAGGTGGAGTGTGGAGAGAAAGGAATACAATACTGGGGTAAATTCTTCAGCATACTATAAAAGTATCAGTTTGCATTTTACACTCTCTAGCAAGAATCACTGGAAATAGTGACATTGTGTCATTTTTCTTGTTGTAGATGTGTACCTTATCAATAACTGTACCTATTTCATGCATCTTGTCGCTTTTAAAAGGGTCATGTTGTGTTTAATTGCATTGATAAAAGTTCTGCATCAAGTAAGTCGCACAGTTATTGTGGTCTATTTGATAGCATAGCAAAGCCCTTCAGTATAGTCTTTATTCAGGTCTGGTTCCCTTATTGAAGGGAGATCGATGTATTAAGAACAATTTCAAAAGATGAATGCAAAACCAGCAAGAAGTTTTTTAGAAAATAAAAACTACAAGGAGATGATGACTGAGCCAGTTCAGTGTGGAAGGGAAAATGAGACTCTGGTGAGAAATGATAGTCCTATTAATATATTCCTGAATGTCGTTAAGAGGTTAAAGATCAATCCTTAAGGGCAGAACAAGAAGTAAGAGTGCTTGTGCAGCAACAAGGGGGAATAAAAGGAGTAGGGCAAATGTATTTACAATGGAAAGCTTAGGTAATGAAAAAGGATACAAACAAAAAATGTGTGATTAATTTCCACAGAGAAAGTCAGGTCTAAACTAGGTAGTATCTTCTGAGGCAATAGCAGTATAATTTAATGATTATTCCTACAGAGTAGATGAGAATCAGTAAAGCATGTTAAATTGCTATCAGCCCCCTCCTCCATCCTGTATGATTCAGTGTATTTAATTTTAAAGGGAAAGTGTGCTTCAAAGTGTGGAAACATATGACTGACTTTCCTTCAAGAACTGTGCACCCAGCTATAAAAGAGAAGAATATGTTCTCTAGCACAAAGGACTCCCTCAGATCTTTTGTAGTTCTCTAGCCTTCTTGAGTCTGAATAATTGTAGTAATTCTATTGTCATTGTTTGTGTTTTTTTCTTCAGGCTTGTAAATACTACAGTTCCCAGTGGCATGTTGTGAACTACAAATATGAACAGTATTCAGAAGACTTTCGACACTTACCACAGTAAGATCTAGCATAAGTTCTTCTTTTTTTACTTTTTCCTATTAGGTTTGTGTCATTTTGCTGAGCTTTGTCCATATTTGCACTTCCCTTTATCTTATATGATCTGCTTGTTTTACTGTATTTATAGTGCCTTGAATTTTTAAAAAGGGGAAGAAAAGGTCCTTTAGCAAAAGTTCAAGACTCTGCAGAATTCACTAGTATCAACAAACTCTATTAGTGCTGATTCAAATCCTTAGAAGCGTATTTGCGTATTCAAAGCACAGTTGATACAAGAAAGCTGGCTTTCCGTTATCCTTAATAATGCATAAATGTCACTCACCTTTAACTGGGATTAATTCTCCTTTTAGTTACCCTGTGTAACAGAGGAGTAGAATTTCACTTAGTGCTTTGTAGCTGCACCATCCAGAAGAACTGGGCACAACGCGTACAGCACACACTGGTGCAGCACTGGTGATACAAGGCTGCAGAAATGTGCAAGTGTCTGGGTAAGTGGGTGTCCCTCCTGTGCTTGGAGGCAGTACATTAAAATCAGCATAAAGGTGCTGAGAGGAGAAGGAACAAGTTCCTTGAGTTGAATGGAAAGAAATTAAGAATTTGGTGCTCATTTCTTGCATGAGTTTCTACTCATACTCCTGTTTCTGGCAGGTTTGTATCCTGTGTCCTAAGGACTGTTTTAGGGAGTAGTTAATGAAATCACTGAATGCCCAAATAAGCTGTGTTACTGCCTCCTTTCCTGGAATTCGAGGCATTAAAATCATGATACTGGATGAAAAAGGTTGTTACGTGCACATAACACAGGAATGGGTGCTCCAGGCTTGGTGTGGATGGAAACTAGTACTAACTAAACATATTGTTGCAGGAATCGACAAACTGATTCTTATGGTCCCTTGAGATGCTGTGTTCAGAGGGTTTTGTGCTGCAAGCCTTCCCTCAGATCTGCATTCTCTCTTGTATGTTGGAATTCTTATGAACAGTGAATATGGTAGTACAAACAGCAATTAAGAGCAGTTTTACAAAACAGAGATTGTAAACATACCTTTTCTTAAGTACCCAGTGTACTGATTGTTTTAGAAAATTAATGCATTTGGCGCTCAAGAAAAATGTTCACAGCAGTTTTCCATTTAACCTTAAGCATCTTCACTCTAATGAAATATCCATTTGACAGATGTGGTTGCATCACTCTGCACAAAAGTACATTTTAGCTGATTATATACATTGTCTTCTGTGAAGGTTGTTTTAATATGGTGCTTAATATGATTTGCTTTCCTGAGTTCATGCTCCAGGGATGTTACTGTGCCTCACATCATACTTCCCCCCCTCCCTTGCATAGAGGATTATACTTGTTTTGTATCAGAGCAAAGCACTCAGGAGTGGTTTGGATGCAGCACTGGCTGGTGTTTCAGAAGCAAAGTTACAGGAGGAATGTTTGTATTTCGTTTGCTGAAAGTTGCCATGGCTTTTGAGCTTAACATACTTTAAACAGAGCTGGTTTGGAGTCCACCTCATTTCATAGCATTTCCAGCCTCTTCAACATCAGTGGACCTTGATTTGCACATGTATGTTACAAAGTTCAGTGGTTTAGACTCAATCCCCTCATTAACAATAAAGTGCCTCGATACATCCTTGTGGTAGTATTGCATCTCACTGTCAATTGAAATTTTTTGTTTCATTTGTGCAAAACTGCTGTCACACAATTAGAAATCTGAGCATATTGTTGTATCAATTCCTTTATAGGAAATCACGGTGTCGGGGAAGATTGAATGAGTGTTAAAGCGTTTAGCTTTGCATCATGAGAAAGGAACATCATTTACAATACCAGATCTAACTGTGGGTAAAGTGCTTCCATTCACTGAGGGTGCGCTGAACCTTCCTGTGGGCTTTCCCATTTAGAAACACAGAAATTGAGACTCAGCAGCCTTCAGCATCACTGAAGGACTTCATACTTGTTTGCACGTGAGGCCACGCTGTGCTGTTTCACACAGTCATACAACATGTCAAGTAATGGCTGCGTGGTGTAGCAGATTTTTACTAGATATCGAAGCTGTTCTTCCTGAATACTGACCCTTTCTGATTGGGAAGCAGCTGCAGCATGATGCTGACCACCTGGGGCAGGCAGTGAGGACTCAACATGTCCATGGTGCAATTCCACTGAAGTAGTGCTGTGGCACCAGGGGAGAGCTCAACATGTGCCCAACATGACCAAAATGTTTAGCAATTGCTTTAGTTTTTCTCTGAGTGTGTTCCTCCTTTGAGGCTTTTCTCAGGTCTTTCTACCCCTTAAATTCCTCTCTGTGAGCTCTCACTACCTCTTTTTACACCATTTTTCATGCTTTGTGCTGGTGTGTTCTTGCTTCTTGAGCAAGTGGCGTGAGCTGTGGTGGCAGTGTGTCTGGAACAGAAACAGTCATTAGCAAAGCTTTTACTGTTGTTTATAGAAAACCTGGAACATTTGGTAGATATTTCAGGTCTGGTCCCTTGGAATTCTGCATCTTTATAGGGTCTGAAGAGGCAGTAGGCAGAGAAAAAGAGGGGTATACCAAGCTGGATCATGTCCTTACCAGCTTTATCTGCTGCCCTAGAATGATGAGTAGCATGCCCAAAAGGATTCCCATCCAAGGAAGGGAAAAACTTCTGTGGAGAATGACAGAGAGGTCTGAGCGGATGAGTGTTCATGGGTGGTCAGTGAGGTCTGACACCTGAAGCAGTAGTGGTCTGTCCTTTTCTATCTTTTATAGCTCTGCTGAGAGGACAGGATTTCCTTCTTTCAAAGAAACTTACCATATACCCAGGCTTGTGGAAGGGCTGTGGTTTAATGGGACAGGCTCCCGCTGTGACCCTGGAGCGGCAGAGCGGTGCAGAGTTGCTGTGTCATATGGTGAGGGGCCGGCCCCTTGCTAATCCAGCAGATTTCTGACTCCTCCTTCCCCAGTAGCATCAAGGTCATTAGGGTTGGGGTTATTTTTTTCAGTGGGTGACTAACACCTCCTGTTACTGCTACAGATCTTCAAGCAAATCTCTGCAGTGGTGGTATCTGTCCAGATGTGGCCAGAGAGCATTGGTCAGTCTGCCCACACGTCACCCCAAGAGCACTGCGGTGAACTTTTAGCTCTGAATAATGAATAAGCTGATAGAGTTTTTGTCTAAAAATGTGGAGGCTTGAATGGGTTTCGTTTTTTGTAAAGGTGGGATTTGGCTTGAGATTTCTGGTTTGGGGTTCTTTTGGGTGAGAGGGAGTGTTTGTGTAAGAATTTTTAACAGCTGCCCTTGGTTGCATTGGAAAACCTGCAATGGGTTTCCATCACAAACGTTCTGAACAGTAATGCATTTACAGATGTCAATAGAATACAAATGTTCCTTTTATTCAAAATATTGATCAGTTGTTTACATCAAATAAACACCAAAACTGGAACAAACTAAACCAGAGAAATAAACAGTCTTGTGTTCTGCGTGCACTTGGTTCTCCTGGCTTTTCTGAAACGCTGATTTCAGTTGTGGTGAGGTAGTCACATCATGAGAACACTGACTTTGAAATGGGGAAAGTGAGGAGGAGATAAGTATTGCTTATTGCTTCCTAATCTGTAACTTGTATGTGAATGAATAGAAAATGAAAGGGTCAAAGTTACCAGTTTTTTTTTAATTTGTGACAGTTAACATTATGTGCTAGTGTGGGCTAAAGTTTGCTAAGTTAAGAGAGGAAACTAGCTTAGGAGTGTGTGGTTTCTCAACTTCTGTTTGGCTTTGTTTCCTTGCGTGGTAGAGAGAAGTGTTGCTCTGTTCCCATTCTCAGGCTGGGTAGATCAAAGTAGGTTCTGGAAAAGTCAGTCTTTCTGATAAATGATGGTTTTTAGCATGACAACTTTTGTAGGTTTTCATATGATGACTGAATATTTCCAAGAAAAAATTTGTAATCTTCAGGAATTTGAAAACAATGTTGGTATTTCTCAAGCCATAGAAAAATCTATTTTTTCTCTGTTTAAAAAAATATTTTGCATTTTTGTCACGTGTATTTGGCTGTTACTTAAGGTTTAATTCTGCAACATGCAAAGTACTCTGGGCCTACCTAAGTACAATTATTTATGCATTTAAAATTAAGGAAGTGCTTAAGTGCTTTGTTTTTTCATATTCAGTTTTGGTTTAAAGTCCACAATATGAAGATCTTAAATGGCACCACATCAAAAAGATAACAATGTATTTTTAAAAATTACTTTAAAGCTGTGCTCGTCATATTGAATAGTAAAAAAAAAAATCTTAAAATATTAAAGAAATGTAAAAGCTTTAAGCTGAATAATCTAATGTTGTTCTTGGTTAGAAAAAGCTATTAAAGAGTTCAGTCTCATTCATATGACAGCCTTAAATGGGACATCTCTGGAAATTGCTTGGATTTTGTTGCCTGTGGTGTAAGAACAGTGACGAGAACAAGAAGTGGTATTTCATCGTTTGTATAGAACTGTTGCAACTTTGTAGTGTTGTGGGGGAAAAAAAAAAGATATGTGGAGCTTAAGAAAAAAAAGTCGTATTTTGAAACTGTAGTGATTTTTAAAGGAGGTAATAGGATCACAGCAATAGGTTTACTGAAGATGCCATGGGGGGCTCGGGATGGTTGCCTCCCTGAAATAGCAGGTACACGATCATTTTAAAAAAATGAATAAATACTTTTTTCCTCCCCTCCTAGAAATGAATGTAGACCAGAGAAACTGCCGTCACATTCCTTTGAAATCGATCATGAAGATGTGGATAAGGATGAAGTATGTATTCTGGTTTTTGGTGGGTTTTTTCCCCCGGAGAAGAATTATTTATTGCTTTAATATCAAGTAAAGAATGATAATGGAGGCTCGTTACCTCCTATGAAATATTTCATATTTTAAATACCTCTGAAGATAGTGGAACAGCTTTGTCTCTTATGTCATCATGCGCACAAGTATATTAATATCCTATTTTAAAAGGAATGAAGGGATGATTATTTGTTGTCAAGCAGATATTCATACGTTACAGTTTTCTTTCGTCTTAAAATTCAAAAAGCAAGTCCATGCAATATTAATCATGTTTTTCATACAGGATACAACATCCCACTCATCTTCAAAAGGTGGTGGAGGTGGAGGAGGAGGAGGATTAGCAGCAGGAGTTTACAAGTCTGGATGGCTTTATAAAGGGAATTTCAACAGCACTGTAAACAATAGCATTACTGTTCGGGTAAGGGGACAGCATTATTCTTTCTTTATTCCAGTTGGATTTATCTCCCCCCACAGAGGCAGACTTGTTTGCTATTGTCATTTAGCTGTTTATATTTCAGGTTTGATTACATTGCTTTAAATGATAGTAAAGTAATATTGCATTTGTCTGCAAAATAGTGTGATTGAAGTGCATTTAGGAGTTGCCTATTATTTAAATCCTGCGAATAAAGTATCAGTTAAAACAATTTGCAGTACAGCAATTGTAATTCTTTCTTTTTTCCTCCCACTTCAGTCATTCAAAAAGCGCTACTTCCAGCTGACACAGTTGTCGGATAACTCATATATTATGAATTTTTATAAAGATGAAAAAATATCAAAGGAGCCAAAGGGATGTATTTTCTTGGATTCTTGTACAGGAGTCATACAGGTAAGTTTCAATTTATTTCATTGTATTGTTTGGGTGTCAGATAAATTTTAAAAAGGCAATACATACATTAATGGAATAGTGGTCTCATTAGCAGTTTCGTGAAATGAAAACACCGTTAGTTTTGCTCTTTAAATTGGTGCAAGTGCTCAGACTGGCAGGTTACAAAACCCACACTTGAATTATGGTAGCAGATCATGCATATGCTCTTTGCCAATGGCACACATGAGAAAAAATATGATAAAATGTTTATTTTCACTGAAATTACTTTCTTAGCTGCCAGATTTTACCATATGCTTACTAAGATCATGCTTGTTTGTTGTGGGTTAAAGAGACTCAGGTTACAAAGCATCAGTTGTTGGGCAAGTGGTAAATTAATCCTGTATCATGAGCCTCCTTGAAGATCATCACTTTTGGGAGGTGATAGAGAGTCTTAGTGGCAGCAGGTAGGACAGAGTCTTATTGTTTATTGTGGCTTGGAAAAATAAATAGCCAGAAATATCTGACACCTTTTTTTTTT